ATATATATATATATATATATATATATATATATATATATTGAGTGAATTAGCATTCACATGAAATTGTCAGCAGAATTTTGCAGATTACAGAGTGTCTCTCACATGGACATGTTTTTGGCTGTGTCAAAACATATAAATTTGTTTGTATTAAATCACATTATTTATTATTTATTTTTTTAGAAATTTGTATTCAAATTAAATCAAGAAAGTTTTTCAGCTTTCGAAATTAATTATATTAATTTTGTTTTTCGACTCTCTTTCTTTCGATGTATAATAATTCTGTATCGGACGATCACCGTCTGATCAAACACAGATCCAACGTTTGTAATTTAGAGTTTTTGACTTTTTTCCTCTATGGAAAACGAAACTTCCTTGGATTATTAAGTCAAATGAAAAGAGAAAATCACGAGATTTTCCCGGTTTATTTAACTGTTGATACAAGGAACGATTATTAACTGTTGATCCGCACATAATTACACACATTCATGTGTTTGTGTGCTCAGTGATAAGTTATTTCACCACATCAATAGTTAAAATCATCCGTTGTATTTCATCAAATGTAGCATCTGAATGACCCAAACAAGATTTTCCGTTGTGACTTTGATGATAAAGAGTATAATTAAGCATTCGATCCTCATTCGTTGATAACGAAATTATTGTAGGTATAAATATCGACTGAATTCACTAATACGTATCAAATTATTAAACATGGTATCAAACTTCAGAAAATGAAAAGTCACATTTTTTAATCTCGTTGCTCTCGCTCAAAAACATGTGCAATGATTCAAAATATAACACGTCTGCATGTGATGGGGCGTCACCTCGTTAGTTATGAGTCTAATGCCTCGAATTAATTTAGATGATATTGGATTGGATTAATTCCCTATTGATTACTATTAAAGTTGGTAAGATATTCAGTTCATTGCATTGAATATACTATTAAAATTGTTAAAATTTGGTATTAAATATAATTTTTCAATAATATCCTTAATCTATCTATAATCATATCGTAATTTGTATGTTTTAGGGTTAAAACCGTAATTTTCTTTATGAGTGACTACCTTAAAATTAACCTCAAGGGATAGATATTTAATTGGGTATAAATGGGTTGAGCTAAAAACGAGTCCAACTCATTTGTAGGTTGAAGCCCGATCAGGCTTTAACAAATTTATATCGGTTGGAAATCGGGCTCAACTTAAACTACACCGTTTTGCCCCCTAAAATAATAGAGTGATTTATTTATTAATTATTATTATTATTATTATTATTATTATTATTATTATTATTATTATTATTATTATTATTATTATTATTATTATTATTATTATTATTATTAATCATTGTGCGTTAAAATTGGAAGATTAATTACTTTTTTCATTGTTATTCCGGTTCCTATGTCGTCTAACTTACATCTTAGTTGATTCGAGTTGAGTTAGAAAATCAACTCAGAGGGCTACAATATTGGTTTGATTAATTTGCTCATATTCACATTTTAAAATTGTGAAAATCGCGTTTGAAGTCGACTTATGAGTTACATCACTTGCTTCTTGAATCATTCAATACTCTATTACACGACATCGAATTTATCTAATTCAAGTTGAATTGAAAAACCGACAAAAATAGTTACAACATATTATGTCTCGAATTTTATCAAATTCGGATTGAAAGATGATCCGAATTGCATTTGAACTCGACCTATTGTACGTGCATGCTCATTTTTCACATGACTTATTTGGATAAATAACATTGAAACAATATTTATCACATGACTTATTTGGATAAATATCATTTATATCCTATGTGGTTTGAACTTTATGCACATCACCCTCTTATACTATTAATACGATCTCCTTTTATGGGGATCATGTGCTTATACTAAAAGTATAATGGGATCATGTGACAAATTGAAACTATATGGGGGTCATGTGCTTATATTGAAAGTACGAAGGACGGTCATATGCACAAATCTCAAACCAGTTAAAGGCTATTTACCCTAGTTATTTAATGGGCAAATTACGACCACCCAGTGAGGTAAGATTAAATTACGAAAACACTCTTCATGTTTGCATAATTACAATTACCCCCATCAACTATGTATTATCTTATTAAAAAACCCCTATAGTTGATAAGTTTAGGGGCTTTCATTCGGTAAAATTGCACATAAATTGCGGTACGCCAAAATTTCATATCGTTTAGCGTTTGGTTCGATAAATAACTGAATTACCAATATTTTATTGAAAATATTTAAATTTGATTTTTTTAATTAATTTTAGTTTAAATACTAACATTGCATATATAACAAAATAAAATAAAACTGAATACGACACTGAATTAACGGTTTAATAATCGGCATGTACGAATTTTCGTTCATTTCGATTCAACCGGTTTACCGACTGGATGAAGATTCCTGGATAAATTTGATATTGTAAGGGTGGATGTGTAAGACAATACATAATTGAGGGGTGGTTGTAATTATACAAACAAGAGGAGGGTTTTTATAATTATATTTTACCTCAAAGGGTTGACGGTAATTTACTCTTATTTAGAAGGTCCAATTAATTATCGTTCAATAAATTCATATTAATCATGGTCCAATTAATTATCTCTCACTAAATTCATATTAGTCATGAGTCATGACAAAGTAAAATTTACTAATCGGCATGGAAAAAACTGGATTATCCAAGCATCAAATTAATCGCTCGTTCGATTACCGCTATAAGGTTCTACGAACTAAATAGTAGGGGTTAATAACATGTCCGATTGGTAAGATTCACACTTTTTCAAATCCGCTACTAAAATCGAAGCCCGCTATTAAATGTTACTATTTCATTAAATTAGTAGCACCCCTCCCCTGAGATGAATTTAATAGGGGGTGACTAAAACGGAAAAATACAATTTTATCCTTAAAATCATATTTTATTATTGTAAACTAATTGTCTTTCATATATAATAAATATTTTTAACAAATTTAATAGAAAACTTAATCCAAGAAACCTAACATATGCTACTAATTTTACTAATCATGATTAATTTCCCTAAACATAAAAATCCTAAACTAAAGGTTTGATTAATTACCTACGGAATTAATTAATAAAAAAAAATAGGGGATGATCCCAAGAAACCAAATCATGGCAAACCTAATATGCAACCTAACCTATTATTTTAACTAAACCATAGTTAATGAAATTCCCATTCAAAATTGACAGGCTTTTTGTGATATATATAATTATATATGTATAGTACAATTGTACTTATAAGTGGGGAATGAATGTAACTTAAGCTGAATCCATGACTACTGAGAAAAGTTCAATTGTTGTAATGATTTATAAAAATGCCTCAATTTATTCATGTAACAACAAAGTCTATTAATATTAAAAAAGATAGAAGAATCAATTGGGAATTCTAATTCATGTTTGTGCTAGAATAGGGAATTGTATTTTAGGTATTACCCCCTCTTTTTTTCTATTTACCTATTCTAAGCTAAAGTATGTTCTAAAGAACTTTTTACCTCAACTTGTACTCAAATGCTTTTAAAAAAATCTCCATTAAAATTGTTGTTTAGTTTGTTTATTTGAAAAGTTATGACTTTTAGTTAGTGTCTTGTAAACAATTAGGGGTGTAAATTAGGCGGATCTGATCGAAATTAGAGCACTGCTGAAAAAAAAAATTGAAAAATAACTCCGATTTGGTTCATAAAAAATATGAAAGAATCGGAATTTTAGAAGTTGAATGAAAAAACTTTTACGACAATCGAAAATTTTGGAATTGGAATTGGCATTGGCATTGGCATAATTTGTTTTTTTTTATTACATTTGATGCAAAACACATAACAAAATTGATATTATAAACATAATTTTAGGAGGGAAATGTGCAATTTTTGAAAATTAAAACTACATTAGAAATTGGAGTGTAATATGTACTCCGTCCTTCCCGTATTAGTTGTGGGGTTTTGTGTTGTGTCATATATTAAGAAAACCAATAAATATAGATAGTTTATAACAAACTATTCAAATTTACTGAAATACCCTTATCATTAATCGATCATCAGTCGATTAGAAATGATAAAAGGGTAAAATCGAAACAAATTAGAAATAATACTTCAATTACATTCCAAACAAACTACAAAAGTCATAAATCAAAACTCTCATATAATTAATGCAAAATGTAAACATTATCGTTTCGATAGAAAAATCGAAACTTTTCGAATCAGAACCCATAACCAATCG